CCCCAAAACCCCAAAACCCCAAAACCCCAAAACCCCTTTAAGTTTGATAAAATTGAATAATTTTGAGTAATAAGTTACTTTCTGATTTTATGCCACTAATAATTCCCAACTATTTATTTCCGAAACAACAAATATACGATCGCTCCTCAAATTTGTGAAATTTTGCGCTTTCAAATACACAAGAATTTTATAACTTTAATGAATGAGTATACTCCATTTTTCTACATTATAGACTATCTTTACATTCCTATTAATTTCTTTTTACTCTTGTGAATGACTTGAATGCCTTTGAACCTATACTATTCTGCAACTTTACTTTTAAAGACTTTATTCAACAATTTTTGATATGTCTCCCCTCATTTCTCAGTATTGCTGTTTTCTGAACCTTAAGCTTTTAAGACCTACCAGCTCGGCTGACTCGCTTATTTTATATTTCTTTATATTATTGTTCATACATCTCTGTACCTTCTGTACTAGATTGCCTCTTTCTAACTGAAATGCGAGTTTAAGAGTTTACCTGTGCATCATACTATTTATTTAATAGATTGCTTATTTACTCCCAGTCCTAAATGATTTGGCTTTTCCTTCTCTGTAAGATCTTGTCAGGGCTGAAGAGCTTGAACTAAATTGCTTCAAGAGTGGTCCTACAGCCCTTGAGAGGTAGGAACCCTTGTACTCAGGTAATAGCTCCCTTGCTGATAATTGGTTGTTGAAAAAGCTCATTATTCTTACATTTAATAGCAGAGATAAAACAGATTCTTTTGCTTCAAGGGATATATCAACTATGGTGAGGAGCAATGTCAGAAATGATCTCGAGAGTCATATGTCAGTAAAGTAGAGTCATTGTAATACTAGTACCTTTAGTTCAACACTAGGCCTTCCTCCTATGGATCAGAAGCAGGTAACGAGAACTTCTTTTAATATTCCAAAACAAGTAGAGTTGAATGATGATAATACCCCTGAAAGAGTTACTAATTATAAAAAATTATCAATGAACATCCTTAGGATAGCTAGCATCGCTGAAGGCAACACAAACAGGATATCAAATTAAAAGACTATTACAGCATCTTTCAGGACAAATAGTATTGAAAACTTGCATGCTAGGCAGCATATGCAAGGAGGAAAACTTCCCTTCAGAAAGAATCTGGATCCTAGCAATTTGGCGAACATGGAGGTTGGAAGCAGCTTAACTATTAAAAATCAAGCAACATCAGCATCATCAAACCTCCAATGAGAAATAGCTTATCCAAGACGAGAATGGATCATAGCATTCTGATGAAATTTAAAAGATGAACTCTAGTTTAAAGAACTAACTCACAAGGAAGAACTTTAATACATCTTCAAGCACAAAGAACTTGAAAGTTGTCTCAACATCCTCAAGTGTTTGTGATGGCTTTACAAGCAATAGACGATATCAACTAACAAACTTAGAGTCTCATAAAACTCCAAAGGAGGCAATGAACATACTTTCTAAATCAACAATAGTCTTTCCAATGATCAAAATGCTGAAAATCTTCAAAGAGCGGATAATAGAAGGACTAATGATTTTAATGACCATAATAAAGTAAAAGATGACTGACTTTTCCAATACCAATAAATTTGGCCAACCTCATTGTGAAGCAAATGACTACTATAGGAGAGAACAGAGAAATCAGTTGTTTCAGTGACAGTTATCTTCAAATTATCAAAAATCATAGAAATAATTTACAAAACCAGATATTGAGTAGATGAAAGGTGACATTATTTTAATGAAAATTTAGAGAATTCTAAGGTTCCCTTCACCTTTGCAGTTCCTTGATTAGTCTCAAGAGGTTATAGCTTTTCAATTTTATTGTGAATAATCCACTGAAATATCCCAAAAACTATTCTCCTGGCTTCTCCCATTTCCTGTCTTCTCTAGTGACCACACCAGACTCCATAAACCCACTCAAATCAAATATTTCCCTAATTTCAACAATTCTTGTTAGCAACGGGGTTTTGGGGTTTTGGGGTTTTGGGGTTTTGGGG